GATTTCGGGACATGTCAATTAATGCCATTTTACTGCATGCGAGATGTTTGATGTCGAAATGGAAGGGAATCAATCGGTCAATCCAACGTGTGAGCCGGCTTTGACTTGTTTTTGATAGTTTACTTGCGTTTAAGGCGCTGATTAAAGCTTGGTGATCAGTGTTGACGGTAAAATGTTTTCCATACAGATTTTTACAGTATTTAAAATGTTCGATTGCCCACACGGCCCCTAATAATTCGAGTTCGTTTACAGCATATTTTTCCTCTAATGAGTTTAAAAAACGTGACGCGTGAGCTACGGCGGCCCAACCTTCTGGCGAATGTTGTTCCAGTGCAGCTCCTTATCCTGTAGTAGAAGCATGGCATACGATGCGAGTGTCAAGATGTTGGTCAAATGTTTGTTTTGTGTTATTTCAGCTACCAATTTAAATATGTTCTTGAACGTTGTGTTATGCTCTGTTGACCAGTCAAGTGGTTTTTTTTTCTGTGTTTTTTAGTATTGGGCGTAGAGCGGCAGCGGTTTGTGCCAGTTTTGGTATATATCGTGTGAGATGGTGTATGGAACCCATAAGCTTTTTAGTTTTTGGTGGTGATAGTTTTTCGATGGCCTCAGTCTTTCTTATAAGAGATTTTGTTCCCTCGCTATTAATGTTGAATCCCAACCACTCAACTTGTTTGCATGCAAACATACATTTATACAATGATATCGCAAGATTTTCCTCGTCCAGTTTTTTCAGAACTGATTGCAACTTTTGTTTTGTAGATCCAAATATCCTTTTGTTACGATTAGTATATCGTCCAAATAGGCATAGGTGTTCATACAATTTGTAAGAGTTAGATCGATTGCTTTTTGAAATTCAGCTGGCATATCCGTGAGGCCATAAAATCATGTTTGAAACTGATAAGTCCCAGTGGCGTTACTACCAATAAGACTAGAGTTGCATTGTTCTCTTGTTGTTTTTATTCAAAGGGATTTGTGAATATGCGTAGCGGAGGTCGAGTGTTGAGTAGTGTGTCCAACTGAATTCTTTTCGTCTGTTTTCCAGTTTCAGTTAAAGTTACAGTTCTGATTTTCCGGGTCTTTCCATTTCAGTTACAGTTACAGTTTTTACAGTTTTTTTCTTTCAGTTTCAGTTACAGTTTCAGTTGAAGCTTTCAGTTGGAAAAATTGAATCAAACAACATGTTGAATTTGAAAACAAAACTTACAAAGAAACAAAAACTTAACGAGTTCAATCAAAAGTCAAGTCATTCAATCAAGTCACGGTTACTCGCAATCATTGTTCTTTCACGGAGCCCAGTGTTCGACAGCACTCTAAGTCTTCCTTCCGCTTGGATGGCTGCTCCCGAAAAAAGTCTTTCAACTCCGACTCCAGCGCCGCTGAAACACAGGTTCGCAAGCGCAAACTGAGACAACTCAGGAACAGTAGATAGTCTGTCGCGCCAAAACTTGTGAAGGTATTCCGAGTGATGTTTGAGATCAATGTCAAATCCCGGTTTCATGTGTTCGTAAGTAGAGATATTCGCGCAATAGCTCTCAAACTGGGCCGAAAGCTTAACGGCTATTTCTTCGGGTTGCGATGCAGATGGAGGTGGAGTGAACAAACTCGGAAAGTTTTCTTCTTCGTCAGATCTGTCTTCGTAGAAATCAGACCATAGCCGTGCTGCTGTGTGCGGGTGCTCGAACTCGTCAACTGCAAGTACCAATTGCTGTGGTTTCTGAGCGTCGAAGTTGTAAAAGTTGACCACCTCACCGTAGAAAGAGCCTCCATATGACTTCCGAGTCCAGCAGTCAAGTTGCACCTTAAAGACAGAATTTTAAGAACAGAAAAAAAAATTTTTCAGGGTGGTGAAATTTTAGAAAACAAAAACTCAAAAACATGCGATAGCTCTTGCCTGTATGACTGGTAGCAGACCAGTTTCTGTAGACGGCGTTGTGAGAAGCTGCCTGATCTTTTCTTCAACACTGAGAGCTTGCTTCGAAATGTTGTTGCACAGAGTCTGCTTGCTCGGCACAGAAAACTTTCCTCCACTGACATACTTGATGATAGTATCAAATCCGTATTTCTTGTCAGCAATCATATTCGCACTTGCTCTTGGGCATGCAGCAACATAAGTCGCTAGCAATTCATTCAGACGTCGCTGGCGGTAGTCGCTTGCTGGGAGCGGAGTAGTTGCTGATCTTGAGCTGCTCCCTGCAATGTTGACGAAGCTCTCCATGGTTGTGACTTTCCGTGATTGAGAGTCTGTTTTCGCCTTCTTTTCTGCTGTTTCTTTGACTTCGAGTTGCTTTTGCCATTCAGGGTGCTTCTTTTTGAGGTGCAGTTTGAGGTTGGTAGGACCATGCTTCACCAGACTTGTGAACTCGCAGTCGTCGTCCGTACATCTGTACGCTGTCTTGCTCTCATCTATAACAAAGTATTGATGCACCGGGTTGCTACGCTTGCGACCAGTTGTTGTTGCTGCCATCTCGATCTGGAAACGTATGAATTGCGTCAAGTATTTATACTAAGCTATCTGCAACTGAAACTGCAACTGTAACTGTAACTGAAACTCTAACTGAAACAAGGACCGGAGTTGGTTTCAGTTACAGTTTCAGTTACAGTTCAAAACATCCGGCTGTTTCAGTTTCAGTTACAGTTTCAGTTGATCAAAACCATTTCAGTTGTGCAGTAACAGTTTCAGTTACAGTTTTCAATTCAGTTACAGTTGGACACACTAGTGTTGAGAATAGTGTTTGTTTGGATTTGTCTGATTTTACCACCTGTGCAGTATTGTCCAACAGAACTTCAATGTTGGGCATTTGATATTCGTTCTTGTGGATGAATTTAATGTTTTTCTTAGAATCTAACGCGAGTTTGACTGTTTGATCCTTTTTGACTGTTATGACAATTGGGCTAATAAATTGTTGATCTGAACATTTATCCAATTTCATAATGTGGTTCTGATCCATCAGTTTGCTTAATTCCCCTTCAACTCTTTCCTCTAGGTGCACCGGGATACGTCGTCATTTCTGTTGTATTGGCATGCAGTTGTGATTGAATTGAGTTTTCATCATGTGATTGTTTTCGATTTTCCGATATGTATGCACAGTTGTTGAAAATTATCTTTGACCCATTGTTTAATTTCTGGATCTGATTCTTCTTGTTCGCGTACGCTTAACACATTTTGTTTGTTTTTCTTGTATCATCCTGACACCTATTTGTGGTAGTATGTTGCGTCCTACCATGTTGGCTTTTTGATCATCTACAATGATAAACGGGGCTGATTGAATTTTCCAGCCTCCTGTTTCAATGGTTATAATCAATCTTCCTTTCGGATTTATTGTTTCACCATTATAGCATGCCAGATTCCTGGCCGTGTCTTCCGGTGGGATGCATATGAATAATGCTGATTTATCGTTTTGTTGAAGGCGCCGTGCGGTTTTTTCATTGAGAAACGACATTGGACTTCCCGAATCAGCGATAGCGAATAATTCTTCTGAATTTGTTTTTAGTTTAACAATATGACCGTTGAGGTCATCCTCCGATAGGATTTTTGTATTTTTATTTTCAAAAGACTCAGTGATTGCCATAACCGTGTTTGTGCTAATAGTTCTTATGCGATTTTTTCATTGCTCATGTGTAATGTTAACATGTCTCTAACCCATTCATCTTCTCTGTCCCCACAGTCAGCCCATTCGACTAGGTCTGCATGAAATTGTTCAAGACTCTCCGATTTCTTTTGTTTACGGCAAATAAAGTTATCTTTCGAATGCTACAATTCTGTTAGTGACAAAAATATCTTCCAACGTTGTCATAAGTTCTTGTGTGGTTACATTGTTTAATACAAGACTAGGTCTTTTCTGTTGAACTTGTCTTTGACCTTCGGCTCCCAAACAGAGAAAAACGTAACTACGGACTCTTGCGTCTGCTTCGTCCCACCTATATGAATTACATAATACTCCTTTCTCCCGGGCTTTTATGACGTGATTCTCCCAACCAACTCGTTTCTCCTTATTGCGCACCTCTCGGTTTATTCTTTGTGCCTCTGTTTCACCCGTTATTTCAAGTTCATACACGGGTTCTGCGGGTTCGACTAGTGTTGGTCTGGCTCTCAATAAATTCCGTATTTCAATCCCATCCTTTGCAAATACAGCCATCTCCAATATAGCTGCCCACTTTGACCATTCTAGTGGTGATTCGGCAGACGCTCTCTCCCAAAATGGGTTAATAATCAGTGGGTTTTTGGAATATCCTGCTGACTGCGCCATGTCATACCGCAGGGTATGATATTCTAATTCTTGAATCCGAATGAATTGATAAACCTTGATTCTCAGTCAGAGCGATATAAAACGACTAGTTGACAGATAGCTTTAATTCAACTCTGATTCCTATTTCAAATAGAGTTCGTCTTCTCTGTCTATCAAGGTCAAGTGACCGGCCGTCCAGGGGTTTAACATAAGACTATAGATAATATAAATAACATTTATATAAAGTTGATTTGTCGATCCATGCCGGATGACGGTATCGCAGAGAAAAAATAGTCTTAATAATTTCATGTCAAGCTGCGGACTCAATGCCCTTTTAAGCAGGCGAAGAGACTGAAATATTATTACTTAAGCAATCCCTGAGAAAAGAAAATATAAAGATAGCTTTTCGCAAAGCTCAATTTCCACCATCTAAACCACCCCCCCCCCCCAAAAAAAAACAGCGAAGAAAATATAAAAAAAACTGTTTTTATTTGTAATATAAGTGCCGTTGAATATTCTGTGTTACTTGCGCAGCATCCGGCCATTCTTGTCTTAGCAATTTTGACCCGGTGAAACGAATTAGGTTTTCGCAATAGTAAATTCACAGTTGATCTACAGCTATAATTCACGATTGAATTACAGTTCGTCTGTGTCAAACAGAAGATAAACAGCATTTATTGCTGTTCAAATGAAAAAAGTTTATCCGATCAGGTTTTTCTTTACTTTTGGCTGTGAATTGATAAAGAAGTATGCTTTTTGTTTTTCAGGTGTACTGTATTTATATTAATATGGAATACTAGACGGACTAATGCAGGCTACTATAGACTGCACAGCCGAGCTGATCAGAGCACTCCTGGACAATGGACTGGACTGTTCCTCGTCCACCGGGGGCAGAATAGACTCTGGATGTACTGTGTCCATTCACTTCCAGCCAGATCTGTTGCCGCAACTACACAACAGATTCGGACTACACCACACAACAGCCAGTACTGCCCAGTGCCAGAGGGACCAGAAAGATACGACCAAAAACAGCCAGAATATAAGGAATGTTTCCACGCAGACTGCACATTTAGGTGACGCCAAAACAACTTCAATTGTTGAACAGCGAAGAGATACGCAACCAATTCACATTGAGGTATCAGAAAATACTATCTCCAACTATCTCAACTCGGAACATGTTATCATCACAGACAGTGTGCAAACTCGCAACTCGAAACAGTTGAAGTGCAATGAAACGACACCGCCTACTACTACACCAGCAGAGTTCGAGAGATGTGCAATCAGCTTAAGTGAAACTAAAGAATTGCAGCACCCTAAGAATGTTAGGCTTCCTGTTTCAAATCGGAAGTCACCCTCGAATAGTAAAAGTACGCCAAGTGGTGACTGTGTCGCTCAAGTGCAATGTAGTGGTGTAGGAAAAAGCATCACTAGTTCCGGTGCTAATTCTGGTTCTAATTCCGCTCTTCTAGCTTCTGATCTCAGCCAGGTGTCCTTAGAGCCAGTGGTGCTCGCAGGGTTGTCTTCTCCTAATACAATGAAGCGGAGGAGCAGGAAGCCAATGGTTGATTTGAAGAGAGAGGGAAGGGACAACTTCCTCGTCCGTGTCAAACAGAACATAAACACAATTAACACTACGACTAACAACATCGGTGGTGAGTAGAAGTTAAGCGTGTACTCTATCCTCTTTTTAATGCATTCAATTGTTCTATCTGACATGATATAGATATGTTGCTGTTTGTTTTCATAGCCCCTTAGAGTGTAAATGTTCGAACTGTTAACTTATGACTTTCTAATATACGATCATTAAAAAAAACACCATGAAGATGTGGAAGCACTTCTAAGTAGTCTCGAGTCTCCGATAAATTTTCTGTCTTACAGAAACGTGGCTTAGGGAAATTGATGATGCTAACTTCATAAAATAACAGGTTTCCATACCATCATAACTAATACCAGAAAAACTAGAGGTGGGGGAACTATAGAGGTGGGGGAACTAGAGCTAGGCGATAAGGTTAACTTATTAGAACAGCTTGAGAGTGGCTTTCCACAATCCTTATCAATCCTTGTTGAAGTTAGTGGTAAACAATTGATAGTTGTGTTGGCATATGTACCCCGACGATATGATAAAATTAAATTTGTCGATGAGCTCGATAGGGAACTAGAGCATCTTGCTCAGTATAAAGTACCGATAATTCTAACGGGAGATATCAACATCGATACACTACAGAAAAATAAGTTCCAGCAATCATATCTGAACACAATAGCAGCAAATGGGTTTGAACTTTTTAGTTAATCTGCAACTGGAATTAGTGACCTATCTGAAACTTGTATAGACCATTTTACAATCAGGAATTTAGAAAATTCAACCATGGAAGTATTAGATAATGAATGCTTTTGTGATCATTATCCCATAATATTGAAATCTAATTCTGGCATTAAAGGTGATTTATCAAGTTATTCATATCGTGATATGTCATTCTTAACAAAAGAAAATATAATGAAGGATTTTTTGTTAAGTTTGAAACATAACTTAGAAGATGAAAACCTGATCAGCGATAATAACATAGACCTTGCGTACAAAAAGTTCAATCACAGCTTAATGAAATCCTTAAATTTTTTTGCACCATTACGTAATATGATACACAAAAGCAAAACTAATGCTCCTTGGTTCGCTAAAGGCTTGAAGAATTCGTGTATAAAAAGAAATGCTTATACAAATTGTGGAAGTCAGACAATTTGAATTATCTTAAAAAAGTTAACTTTTTTAACCAACGTCACAAAGTCGAAAAATTTATAAGAATCGCGAAAAAAGTTTAATACTCAAAAATTAATAAATATATTGGAGACTCGAGACAAGTATTTAAAGTTTTAAATGAAATAAATGGCAAGACGGCAAGGCAAAATCATCAAAAATCTCAGCTCTTTTTATCAATAACAATAAATTATCTGACCCCGTTCTAATATCTAACGCTTTTAATGATTATTTAGCTTCGGTAGGAACCAAGTTAGCAAGCAAAATTGACCTAGTGGAGCGAGTGATTAAAATAGAAGACGTGAGCTAATCTATGTATCTCTTTAATAGTACAATTTGTGAGATAATTGATGTGATAGAGCGTCTGAAGCCCAAGCATACTTGTGGCATCGATGAAATTAGTAACCTTTTTTAGTTAAAAGCAGGTATGTGTTGGCACCTTAACATACTTAACTAATCTCTCATTTTGCTCCGGTATGTTTCCTCAAACCCTCAAGTATGCTCGGGTTCTACCTCTTCATAAAGCTGATAGCAGAATATTTATGAGCAATTACCGTCCAATATCACTTTTAAGTAGCTGCAGCAAAGTTATTGAAAAAATCATGCACTCTCGTTTTACTACTATCTTGAAAAGTTAGAATTACTGTATCATCGTCAGTTTGGATTCAGGGAGAAGTTTGCCACAGTTGATGCATTAGCTGAATTGACTGAAAGATTAAGACTAGGTGTTGATAAAAACATTAAATGTAGCTTCATCATTGATTTAAAAAAGGCATTTGATACGCTGGACCATAAAATTCTTTTGAGGAAATTAGAATCCTATGGAGTACGTGGAAATTGCTACAAATGGTTTGAAAGCTATCTATCCAATAGGTATCAATGTGTACATATAAACAACTGCTCATCTAATTGGTTGCAAGTAAACACGGGAATACTTCAAGGCTCTGTTTTAGGCCCTCTCTTGTTTCTTGTTTATATTAACGACATGCAGCACGCAGTTTGCAATTCAAATGTGTTTCTATTTGCAGATGATACAAGCATATCTTGTCAAACATCTATCTATGAAGAATACCAGTTAGATTTCACCAACAATTCTTCCTGGCTTTGTTCAAATAAGTTAACCTTAAACTCAGATGAAACTACTTTTATTAATTTTACGAAGGATAGAAGTGCTTCCAATCTTTCTGTTGATATACTTGATTTCACTTTTCAGCCAAAACCTATTTGCAAATACCTAGGTGTCATTCTAGATGATAAGCTTAAATTTTCTCACCATATACAGAATGTTCAATCAAAACTAGGTCGTCACTGTGGTGTAATATCAAAAATGAGACCTTATGTACCAAGATCCATCCTACTGAAATACTATGTCGAATATCAAGCCAATATTACAATGTGGCCTGCTCGTCTACGGCGGCACGAGTTTTTCTTTTTGAAACCCTTGTTGAATGTGCAACGAAAAATTGTTCGCATGATCTGCTTCAATAGGAAATTTGATACCATTACTAAATTATTTTCTGATAAAAAAAATACTAGCAGTTCATGAGCTATATGAGTACGATTTGATGAAATTTTGTTTACGATCAATAAATCAAAAACATCCAACTTGTTTTCTCAATTCTTTGTTTACTTTTTAAAATTTTGCCTATTTGCGAATTTCAAAAGGTCGATTATTTGTTTCACCTTTCTGTAAGATTAAGGTAAAATAATGTTCTTTGGCTAATAGGGGTTCAAACTTATTGAATATTATGAGTGTTAATAAGCTTTACCTGAAAATATTGGATTAATGTCAAAAATTGAAGAAAAAAGTTTCGTAGATAAATTTAAAGACAATTTCACTTGTGGCAATTACGAGTTGGTGCAAAACATATTTCTTTGAATTGTTATTTTTGAAAAATGGTACCTGCTGGCTAAATGCTATCAAACAACCATTCTAGGGTTGCGATTCTATGCTGAAAATATGACCCTCCAAATCCTTGTAGTTTTCGAGATATCGCATTTTTTTGAAAATTTAAAAAAAAATGAAAAAACTAAATTTTTTTTTCATGTTATCTTTCATATTCTTAGTTCGTCAGCTAGAATGAGAATTTGCCGAAATGACAGGAGTAGATGTAATAACTATTCCTTAATGAGGGCTTACTTTTAGGGGGAAAAAATTTTCCCCACAATCCTATATTCATTCGAATATATATTTATCTTTATTACTTAGTTTCAATCATAATTTGTTCAACGTGTAGACGTCAAGTAGGCACAGACTGCGCCTTTTGTCTATCCCCTCCATTTTGTTGATTTAATAATTTAAATAAATTGATGCTTGTATTATCATCTATATGGAGAAATAAATTCTTCTTCGACCCTGTTATATGTCCTTTATAAGAGGGTCAAACATAATCACCCTGCAGCGGTGTTTCATTATTATCATAGCCACACCAATTGTTGTGAGAGCAGCACATACTGTTGCAGTGAGTGGCCGGTAAGAGGAGTTGGAGTAGCCCTTCTTCCATCTCTGAATTCTTGAAGACATTCGTCGTTACCGGGACTCATTTAAAGTCATGTGCCTGGTTTAACCGAGTAGTTCTTATGGGTGCGGATAATCGGTAAATACACGTAGTGTAAAATCATGTTAGGGATCAGTTTATTTACGAAAATGCATTCCATGATGGTAAGGTTGCTAATTTTGCTACTTCAACGTGTTTGTCCCATAAGTAGTCAATTGTAAAAGTATTTGTCTCGCATGGAAATTTATAGAGACGATGTGATGAATTTCGCGTACATTAATGTAACAGCTGGTTATTAGTGTTGGGCAATCGTACTCGGAGTTTTTATTCCATTGAAAATGGGGAGGAATTTTGTATTCGGGTGTGTTGTTTTCCACGCAATATTAGATACCACAAATGATCATCCGAATGAGTCGAGTGATACATCAGATTAAAGCACTTCCAGTCGTGATTCGAATGGCATGAAAACAGTTTCTAAATGTGTCCCAATGCCATTCGAATCACGACTGGAAGTGCTTTAATCTGATGTATCACTCGACTCATTCGGATGATTATTTGTGGTATCTAATATTGCGTGGAAAACAACACACCTAAATACAAAGTTCCTCACCATTTTCATTGGAATAAAAACTCCGAGTACGATTGCCCAACACTAATAACCAGCTGTTACATTAATGTACGCGAAATTCATCACATCGTCTCTATAAATTTCCATGCGAGACAAATACTTTTACAATTGACTACTTATGGGACAAACACGTTGAAGTAGCAAAATTAGCAACCTTACCATCATGGAATGCATTTTTCGTAAATAAACTGATCCCTAACACTATTTTTGCACCGTAATCTCAAAACCTAACTTCACAATTGTTCCGAGATTACGGTGCTTTTGGTTTGAAAATAATTTGCATTGTTTCAGCTCTCCTCCCCTCAGGGGAAGCCTCGTCACTGGGGTTTGGCTCTTTCCCTTGCCCCTCCCAGATCCAATCTGCAACGAGATTGAATGAAACATGTGATCAAACCGGACCAACAAGGACCGCTGCGAGTTTCGACGGGAATGTGTGTTTCCCTAATTGGGCCAAAGCACAATCACAAACTCAGTCACATTCAGCCTCTGTTACTACTTCTACTTCTTGTCACAAACTACTTCAGCCAAAAACTCCCCTCAGTCAGACGAAATCAACTCTGAAGTTCACACCACTACAGCCAACTGCAGAGAGAAGTTGGCCAGCGTCCAAACCAGCCTCAGATGCTGACAACAAAACAACTGTGACAACAGAACAGGATCGGAGCAATAGATGCCAAACACAGAGACAAACTTCGACACATATTGGAGTTCCCTCTAAAATCTCAAAGGAACATGTGACTGGAAAGGTTGAAGCGAATTCAGCTGAGCCATCTGGACAGACAATTGTTGAAAGTGAAATCGACGTTCTACACATTTCAACTGATCAAATCAAGGGTCCAAGGGTAGATATTGGTGCTATGAATGAGTGCCAGAAGATAGGCACGAGTACTTCGATTGAGTTGACCTGTGAGACGAAGGAAGTGTTGTCACTCGAGGACGACAGTGACGAGGAGGACTGTGTGCTTATTCTGGATGCGAACCAGAACATGCCACTGGCACTGACCGCCAAAATGGAAGCAGAGACTGATTGCCGACGACAGCTGGATTGGAAAGGATCAGACGGATATTTTGGCCTTAGGTCAAGTGGTCTGAGTTCTCCAATGGAGCTAACTATGGAGGTGGGAGAAAAAGGGAAGTTGTCCGAGTCGTTTGCCTGTGAGACAGGAGTCAATCAACAGCATTTGTTGGGTCACAGTAAAGGAGACGCCAATAGGCTTACGGAAGCAAATACTAACAATGCCGAGTCCGATTGTGAAGATGCAAATCGTGACGATGTAAAACAACAGAGCACCGAAGTCGGAGTAGGTACTATCAGAAGTGAACAGAAACTGGGAGACGAATGCAGCCAAGTGTTATCTGTGGACACTAGTGTGTTTATTAGTACCTGCAGCTCCAGCAAGACCACTGTTACTCCAATCTCCACGCTATCACCGGCAACATCCACAGCGCACAGCATGCCAGATAGAACGTCTGGACTCAATTTAACCTCTCCCAAAAAGGTGACCCTGAAAAGGAAGCACTCCCAGAACGCAGGGAAGGGCAGAGGAGAGAAGCCGCGCCAGAAAACAATAACAACACAAGTGGCAAAACGAGTGAAAACCAAGCAGGCAATGGACGAAGAAGAACTTAGTGCTGTTGAGAGTGGGAGTAGTGCATCGAAAGAGGGAAACAAGGATGATGACGATGATGATGATGCGGGTGGGGGTCCTTTCAACCCCACTCGACTGTTGAAGGCTCAGAGGAGGAAACAACTCTACACTGGATTGAGTGAGAGGCTGCAGATGAAAACTATCAAGGCAGCACTGCCCAAGATATTCGACAACGAGCCAGATCTGCCAGACAACCATCGAATCAGGAAAGTTGGCAGTCCAGAGGGAACCACAGTCAGTCGTCCACAAGAGAAGTCTGCCGCTAGTGGTGTTGATAAAAAGAAGCAAAGTAAGCCTGCTGCTGGGAAAAAGAGTGTTGTGAGGAAGGAGTCCCAAACCAGAGAGGTCCCCTCGGAGGAGTGCCAAGTGTCCCAAGCGACTGCATCTGCACAGATAGAGAGTGCAATTGAGAGAGTAGTGAACAACCCAGAAGCAGCTGCCTCCAGTCTCAGTGAAGCTGCCAACTGTACAAACGCATTTGGACTGGTTGCTGCTCCGACAAACTCCACAAAAGAAAAATCACAGACGACAGCCTCTGCTAACTCCCTGTCAGAAGGAGTAAACGAGGAGAAACATTGCAGTGTATTTTATAGTGAAATACAGAACTCTCAAGCTGTATCTGGTGAGTCTTCGGAAAGATGTGAGATGGAGGTGAAAAATAGATGGGACACCACGACAACTGCTTCCAATTCTGAAGTCGTGTGTCCGATTGACAACAGAGTAGCAGCCAACTCAAGCTCCCTTGGAAAGGAACAAAAACTTTTCTCTGCCAGAGAATCTATGGAGAAGAGTGCTAGCAATAGTATGTCACTGCAAACTGGAGCTGAGCTGGAGTTGGAAAAAGGGACAGAGCGGCAGCCAATAGAAGCAGTGGAGACAAAGGAGTCAAATGTGGGAGCATTGTGTAGCAATGAGGACGCAGCTGATTTGAATGTGAGCGAAATGAGTGAGTGCAGCTACAGTAGCAACAACACTCCCTCCTCTCTTTCTCCTCTTGTTCCCCCGCCCACTATGGGTGTGATGAGGTCCATCAAACAGGTGGCCAAAAAGACGGTCAAGAAGAAGCCAGTAGCTCCAAAATCCACCAATCCTCATCAAAATCCAATCGAGTGAGTCGCCATTCGATCTGGTTTCACTCAGTTGAAAGCTTTCTCTTAAACTTGTGCAATTGTGACGTTTGTCTTCTGGTCTAATAAGGGTGCTATTTTCCATTATCTATTTTATTTTGCGTCCAAAGTTTATTCAAAATGCGGGTTCAAACTCATACAAATTGCGAACTTCTATAACTAAGCAGTGTTTTGTTTACTAAATTTAGGTGCCTCGAATTCCCCGTTTCGAATCGAACTAGGTTTGTGACCCAGTTGCATTTGTATTGGTAATACATGCCTCGGTATTGCTTTGGCTAACTTCTTTTTATGCTACTGATCAATTATGCTTACAATCCACTAAAAGGAACTGTTTTAAATGGTCCTCCTTCTACGTAATGAGCTATCTTCGTCACTACTTTGGTTCTGATATAATAAATTGGTCATTTTCATTTGATAGCCCTATTTATAATTTTTGTTTACAAGTTTGGCTTAGATCAGTTTGAAACTGTAACGTGAATTCTGATCTGTTTTTCATCAGTGTGAAGCTTATGCTTTTCACCAGTTTTCCCCCACATCTGTGTTTGAATTTTTACACAAGCGAAGCGAAGTCTATTATTACGAACCTACTTTTTTTTCCAACCTAAGTCGCAAATAAAAGTGCTCATTAGTGGCACTTTTGGTATATTTCAATTTCATCATATTTAAGCGTATTTAAGCATAGGTAATTAAATTAAGTAGCATATAGTGCTGGTTTATTTTTGGCTAGTGTTAGGTCCTGTTTGAAAACAAGAGGTGTTATGAAATGAATGGGATTTGTTAATTTTTGTTTTTTTGCGACCCTTTGGAAATTTTTCGCAAAACCTACTGAACAAATTTTCAAAACAATGGTGTCATTGGAAAAACTGGCTGCTATTTTATGTGCCTGCATAATTTGCTAGCCTCTTTTCAGTTTACACCACGTTCTACGCCTTTCGAAAGTTTCAGTAGGGGTATTTTTGACTTATTTGATTTGGTTTGTTCATTTTCTCAAATAATATTTGCATAAATCTGAGATGAACGTTTAAACTAAAAAATTAATCATTCGAATCTCTCCTTCTTAAGCGGTTTTTACCTAAATTCGGAAGAAAAAAGTTATGAACTCAAACAAGCCCATTGGAGAATAAGAGTTCAACCGGAAGAAAAAAAACGTGGTATGAGAATCTTCCCTGCACAAGCAGCTATGCCTTTTGTTTTGAAAAAAACATGGCCTTAGAAAATGTACAATTTTTGAAACTTTACCCGTTTTTTGGAAACTTCTTCTTTTCTTCAAAAACTAACCTGCTGATTCTGATGTTGATAATTCATTCAAATTAACATCGTGCTTAGATTTTTCCGGTGCAATCTGTTTCGCCTTATTTGTTTTGTCGAAAAGCCGATATGGACATCGGAAAAATCCATTTGAAGTTTTTACCGTTTTAAAGAAATTTCATCACTGTTCTCGAAAGCTACTAGCTAAAGCCGATATTAAGGATCCAATCTAAAAATCAGTGTGTGGAAATCTTCCCTGCATACTAGACTATTCAGATGCTTTAGTAGAGAAAATTTTGTGATTTTAGGAAAAGCCAACTTTTTCGGTTTTTGATCGTTTGGAATCTTTTTCATTTTTTTTCGAAAACTACCCAGCCAAATCTGAGATAAAGAATTCAGTTGAAAGATTGATTGGTAGATTTTTTCTTTAAATATGCAACTAATTCATTACTTAAGCAAAAAACTCTCTAGGGTTTGCGTTAACTCCATTTTTGAATTTACTCATTTCTGTATCAGTACAAAATATGATCAAAATATTAAAGCATGTGAATCTAGCATAAGCTGGGCAACTAGTTTTTCTTCCAAGCGTCCGTGGCGCGATTGCGAGGAAGTAAAAATCCTAATCAACCGGTAGAGATCCAAATCCGGAACATTGAAATAGTTACCGTTTTTGTGGTCGAGTTTTTCTTGCATCGCATTGGCAATTTGATAGAAACTGCAGCTGCTTTTGTGGTGGCTAGTGTTAGTAAAATTACAAGCGGTCATGAAGCAGATCTGAGAACGTGTTACTCCCAAGACTTGCAAAAGTTTCTCAAGGTGTCTTTTTAACCTTTTCCTTATTTCACTTTGTATTGCCTGTTTAGAGATCTTTTTTTGCATTTTCCTCGCTTGTTTGCGAGCCTCTGTATTCGCCTCTGTATTAGAAACTACGTACATGATGGCTAAATCTAATCGAATTTTGCATCGTGAATTGAATCACTATTCTGAATAGATTTACTCTTCGTAACGAACATCGTTATATCAAGCATTTAGTCATAACTATAACACATTTTTTTTGGGGGGGGGGGGGGGGGGGTTGGATTGGGAAACAGCCAAAATTATTTGATATGGGCAGATTGTGGGTTTGGTTCGCAAGTTGAACTCAAATATTCAGAGATTCAGGCTAGCTTTCATTTCAGACCAATCGATGACATAGAGTAGCACTGTGTGTGTGGATGTGTGGCATTTGAGAAGTGGTATACTGCATTGGATCTAGTGTATACGTGTGTTGGTGGTGCAGAATTAAAGCATAGTGGGAGTGTGAGTGAGGATGCAGATGTCTTCTGTTGCAATTGGGGCTGGGGGCTCTGTCTCTTCCCACAATCCCAACTCATCCTCCTCTTCCCGGACACTCTCCGCCCCACAACACACTCAGGTCAGTCCCTCTTGTCCGGCAACAGATACACGTTCGACTGGCTGACAGTATCCTCACATATTTCTCTGCAAATCCAATCCACGGGGCATGCGAATCATTTCGCCCCTAATATCTTAAACAGAAAGTCAGCTAAAAAAAATTGTTGGGTGAAATGGCCATATTGAATCAAAGCACGCTTTCATCAAATAAGCGTGGACTGTATGTAAGTTATGTAGACCGTGGGCTGTTTGAGCAGCTGTAGTATGGAAGTTTAAAATGCAAACTGATGAATATCTGGCAGCAACAGATGGAACACTCATCATCACGAATATGTGAAGGGATATCATGAAAAGACAAGTGTTGTGTGTGTGTTGGGTGTAGCAGCTGATTGAACATGTGCTGCATGGCAGTGTGGGGGAGGGGGTGGCATTGGGGCTGCTGGAGGAGAGACTAAGGGGGTGCACTGATAGCATGGACTCCTTCTTCGACCACGAGGCACACTACACTATGGGTAGGTGGGTGGGTAGATTATATCAATCAATTCAATCATCACACCTGCTCAGTTATCAGAAGAAGGAGCTTGTTTATCAGTTTGAAGCGAGCAGGCATATTATAGACGGAACAGCCATGAAACTTTTAATTTAGACCGAAAGTTTAGTTTTATACGAGTAAAATTGGTGTGTAGTATGGTCAGAACATTCTGTAGTTTTCTAAAGTTGTAGTTTTCAAGTTTATAGTTTTCTTAAGAATATGGTCGGAAAATTCTGTCATATTTGCACAGCCACCGAAGTTTTTTTGTTTAAATGTGCTATCAGTGTCGAGCAAAACGTGTTCGAATTTTCCTTTCACATGTTTGATGCGACAGTGATCATCCGATTGACTTCTTCTGCCATTTTAACATTCTTTAGCTATTGCTGCATTAATTTAACTAGCAGTAGATTGAAAAGCACTTGCTGCTGGTTAGTAAATCCAATTCAGAAGTCATTGTACGGCGAATCGGATAACTTATATGGGTAGCCCTTAACAAAGGGATTTTGAAGAGATCCGATTAATGGTCACCAGCACAGCACAATCTCTACGATTTCATCTATTCAATTACGTGAAAACTGCTGTTTCATTTCATTTTTCTTACATTTTATTGTAGCTGATTTCCATCCTTTTGATTCACTTTAGTTTTTTTGCTTCGAAGATTTGGGATATCTTGCAACCTCGGGTTCACTCCCAGTCGTGGTGAGAGACTCAATTCTTTTGTTTTCTCCTTCAATCAAACAAATTTAATAACTTGTTCTCGATAATCTGAAAATGCCAGCAAAACCAAAAACTTTTAATAACACCCAAACAGAAGAAATTGAAATTGTTGAAAAGTCTCTGCCATGCGCTACTGAGAATTGCCCTGTGAAAACTAACAAAGCGATGTGATTTCTGCAAAGACTTCATCTCTGGTTCTGTGCAGCTGCAAGACGACCCGAGCTAGCTTCAATCAGATCGACAAAATAAGAAAGGAAGACGCAAGAGCTACTTTAAAGAGCGAAGATGGAAATGAACAAAAGTGACAGCAATCCAAAAAACGCAACCTCATTCGGAAAGGAACTCGGCCTCGCGATGTGGAAAATGACCAAATTCTTTTGAGAAAAAACTTTGAATGAGCTTCAAATCGAAGTTGAAAAGGACAAAATTGAACTGGAAAGAGTTGGAAAAGTTCACGAGGACACAGGGCGTCAACTCCTACTATTGAAATTTATGACCGAATTAGTACGAAAAGAAATGTTAAGAAAAGCTCAAAGCCTGCGTAATTATGCAACTTATGGAGAAGTGTATATAAACCCTGTTATATGCCAATTTGACAAATGACAACCATCTTAGATGACTTCAACTTTTCACATGCAATCAGGAAAACTCCGGGAAAGAAATTGAAAACCAAAACTCAAAATAAATACAAAACTGAATTACCAAACACGTGCAACCAACTATATTATAATCAAATCAAAGTTCAAAGCAAGAAAGACTCAAGTACATCGTGTAAATTAGAAACGATTACATTTTCGTTTTCAAATGGAGCCCAACTAGAGCGCCTTTTCAGACGAGTACGAAAAGCCATCAATGACATCAATACAAACTACAACATAGCTGACTCAGAAAACGAGATGAAAAAAATTCTCAGCAATTTGGAAGACGCCACTACGTACCTTGTAGACCACCCGACTGAGCACGCCACTGCGGAGGATCTCATCAACCGCTTCACTGATATACAAGACGAACACGACGACATCATGGATGAATTTAGACAGATGCTACAAGAAAATACAGCAGAGACAACTCCACAACAGCAGAACACTAATGCCACCACAGTTCAAACCCCCCACACAGCTGATTCAGTGCAACAACAGACAATACTAGATCGGGACTCTAGCCAGACGTCAGCATTATCCAGCAGCAGCCATCAGCCAGGATCATCAGTTCATCAAACAGTAGAGGACCAAAACTTTTCAGATAGCCGAGATACCCCGCAGCAAGCCCCCCAGACAGGTTTCGAAATAGACAGACCACCACTTCAACGAACAGAACACGACACCACCAACGCAAACCTCAGCTTCAACATAGTTACAGAACAGCAGTTCATTCCAGCAGCAGTATCTCGGACATCAAGTAACGGACAGTCACGAGCATACTACAGTCTTATGACTAGGCCCCCAAAAGTAAAAATCGAGCCTTTCGACGGAAACCCTATGAAGTGAAGCATGTGGTTCGGACTCTTTGAAGCAACAATCCACAATCAAGCCATCTCGGACGCCGAAAAGATGACTCATCTGAAGACTTTAACGACTGGAAAAGCAAATCAAGCTATTTGTGGCTACTACTGCAATAGCACTATGTACAACGCTGCCCTCCACGAACTACGACGACGATATGGACGACCCGACATCATCATCAATGACTTCGTCAACAGACTACAGAGCTTCAAGCAACCATCAACTCATCGCAGGGATTCGTACATTGAATTTGCCACATTCATCAGTAACATGGTGGAAACATTTCGGACGCTTGGGTTCAAAGACGATTTAAACTCTACAATATACATTCAATTTGCCGTCAGCAAATTGCAACAACATCAGCAGCTTCAGTGGACACAGTACATCACCGCCCAGAACATCGACCAGCCTAATCTTATCGCCTTCAATGACTGGATCAGACAGTTTGCATTAGCATGCGATCACTTACCACCTATGCAACCGCAGCAAATGACCCTGGACTTGAACGATCGACAACAAATAGCCCCAAGACTTCGACACGCCAACGGATCTCGACGATCAACCAACCAGCCTTCACAGAAGACTTCTCAAAATTGGAGTGGGAATACACAACCCCCATGTCCCTTCGATGGAGAAACTCACCACCCAGCATACTGCAGCATGTATCAGAATTCACCTTTGGAAGAGAAAAAGAGACTCGTTTCTGAAAAGCAACTTTGTTTCAACTGCCTTGGCCGACATAAAGTAAAAGACTGCCCATCAAAGCACACATGCAGCAAATGCAATCAGCATCATCACACAACTCTACACGACGAACCACGAACACAAAGATTAGCGAAGTTTAATCCAAACCAGCGACCGAAATAAGTCAACCATCTTGCCAGCCAAAAGAAGATATCAAGAATCAACAGCTCACTGCTGCTACTTTTACCAGTAACATTACGACACCGCAACATATACCTTAATGTATACGCTTTTCTTGATACAGGAAGTACAAATAGCTAAATATCGCAACCGACAGCAGCATATCTTCAACTGGAGGAAACTAACCATCAGGAACAACTGCTCATTGGAGGTTTCCTCAACTCGCAAACGATAGAGGCTAAGACAGTGGATATTACAGTTCATTCATTTGGAAATAACACTTTAGCGTTTGAACTAATTAATGTTTTAATCAAAGAGAACATCAACTTGAATGCAGCCGAGCCCGAAAAGTTGAAAGACATCTGCAGCCAATGCGACCACCTTAAGGATATATGTTTTCCGTACTTCAGCAACAACGACGTAGCCCTAGTGATTGGAACGGACAATATTGACATCATCAGCCCGAAGACCATCATCAAAGGAAATCAAAATGTTCCTCGAGCAGTCCTTACAGCCCTAGGATGGACAATAGCAGGACCGAACAACGACATTGGATACTTCTCAAGCCACCAAGCAACAGCCACCCCAGTACAGATATCAACTGACGACACGCAAATCTCGGATCTTCTCGCCTCATTCTGGCGAATGGAAACCTATACCACATCGCCTGAAATAACGATGTCATCGGACGAAAGACACGCTATGCAAACACTTCGGAAAACCATATCATTATACGACAATCGCTATCAACTTGGACTTCTGTGGAAACCAAATGCAAATCTTCCCAACAACTATAAAGCAGCAATTGCCCAATACAACCGGATGAAAATACAACTTAATAAGAATTCAGAAAAGTTGGCTCTCTACCAGAATACAATTGACCAGGATCTCAGCAAGCACTACATACGGAAATTAGAACCAGACGAAATACCTTCAACAGGATGGACTTTACCTGAACATGGCGTAATCAACCCAAACAAGCCAGGAAATTTTCGCCGTGTTTCCAATGCCAAATCCAAATTTAAAGGAGTTTGTCTGAATGATATGCTTCTCACTGGACCTGACTTGCTCTGCAATCTACTAGGAGTAATTACCCGATTTCGCGAAGAAAAGCATCCCATCACTGCCGACATTGAAGGGATGTATATGCAGGTTTCTGTTAACCCCGAAGACAGAAAATTTCTTCGTTTCCTCTGGGGAGCGGAAGAACCCGAATTTTTGGAGTACACTCGATTCATCTTTTGAGCCAAATGTTCTCCTACTTGTGCAATTTACGCATTAAGAACTTGCGCAGACGACAATGCTGAAAGCCATCCCCACATCAAAAAACTTGTCTACGAGAACTTCTACATGGACGACTTCTTCGAAGCCACCGACGACATCGACACCGCAGTGAAAATCATAGAACCTTCGACACGTACTACAACAAGGAAGCTTCAACCTGACGAAGTAGATTACTACGGATCATAAAATTCTGCAAACAATACCAGAGGAACATAGATCCATCACCATAGACGAAATCAAGGACCCCAAAATCTTCAAGCGAATTCTCGGAATACGATGGCGAGTAAGTAACGATACACTCAGCTTCACTACTGACAAACTACACGAACTCGCCCAGATGAAACCTACACAACGGAACCTACTTCGCGCAGCTTCCTCAATCTTTGACCCAATTGGAATAGCAGCACCTATTACGATTCGACTACGAATAATCCAGCAAGCAATTTGGAGAAAGGGAATGAAGTGGGACGACCAAATTACACGAGAAATGATACCTGAACAGTTCGAGCTTCTCGACGAGAGAAACGATCTGCAGTTAGTGGAAATACCCCGACACTATTTTGGATACAGCTACGACAACGTCGATCTTCATGTATACAGCAACAGTGCCACT